CCTACAAAAATCCAGAGACTTGAAAAGCTGAGCCAAGTGTTTGCTGAACCTGTCTGCTGTCAAAGCCCTTTGTCATTTACTCACGTTTTCTTATCCAACCCATGGATAAAAGCTGGATACCAGACCGACACAGCATGCAAAGTCCTCTGTGCAAGGAGGGCAGGAACATCACATCATTGTGTTAGCACTGATCTGGAAAGGACAAATGCCAGCAGTACTGGCTTCATGTGGAAACCGCAGCTCGAGCCATATGCTCAGCCGGGTTCCTACAGAGAAGATGGAATTCACTGGCTTTGCACTAAAATACATAATTCCTCTCTCTGTGCATTGGTTTGGTTTTTTTGTTTGGAAATTCAAAGAGTGATCCTGCGTGAATAGGAGCCAACAAAACCAGCTCCGAAACTAACTGAGGAATTTGTTAGCTGTTAGCAATGTCAACCACAAAAGAAGCTGGCCCCAGAGCTACCAAAGCCACCGATACCATCCCTGCTGAAACCAGTGTTCCCACAAGCCATGCTGTGCTCTTGCTTCGATGCTGTGGCTTGGCCACACTCTTTGCCTGGGATGTGAGTTACAAAACATCTCAAATGCTTCCAGACATAATGACTACAGGCTCCATCTTTGCAGAAGCCATCAGCAGCTTGGGCTGCTGGCTCCCAGCACAAGGTTTGGTCCAATATTGGGACAGTGAGAGACAGTTCACCCCAGGAGCTGGGTAAACCTGGTGCAAAAGGGTTTTTCACTCTGTGGGGAAGTCACTACCTTCTTGTAGCTTGTGCTGCTGAGCATGGGTCCTGCCAGGCATCCACCCCAAACGGAGCCAGAGGAAGCATGAGATAGGATGTCACTCAAAACCCCACTCACGAGACTCACCTGACAAGATGGAGGCGACAGCGGCGATGATGAAGGAAACAATAACCCCGGGCCCTGCCATCTCCTTAGCCACCAAGCCGGACACCACGTACATGCCGGTGCCCACACAGCTCCCGACGCCGAGGGAGATGAGGTCGAGGGTGGTGAGGACCTTGGCCAGCCTGGCACCCTGGGCAGCTGTGGTCCCCGTGCCCTCCAGCATTGACTCCACGGGCTTGGTGCGCAGGATGCGGGTGCGCAGGGCATGGCCCGCCGCCCCCCACGGCACCCGCCGTGGGTCCAGGCGTGAGAAGAAGCCACTCATGGTTGGTGCTGGGCTCGGCAGATGTGGGTCACAGATGGTTTTAGCAGCACTCACTCAGGGCTGCGGTTGCATCTCCCTCCTATGCTGGTGGTGTAGCTGCAAGAGAGAGGAAGACAGTTTTTAACCAAAATGGCAAAGAAAGAGAGATGTGCTCCACACGGAGGAACAAAAAGAGCCCCCTGAGCTGGTTTCTGGCTGGGGTCCAGCACTGAGAGAGCCCCTGGGGCCAAGGAGAGCTTCGCTTTCACCAGTGCTGCTGCTCCAGAGAAATCTCCTTTCTCCATACCCATTGTTTAGCACAACAGAGATACTCTGTTCCCCTTTGCATTTGTCTGCATGGGTTTAGCCCCAGTTATTAACACAGCCCCATAAGCAGCAGGAACCTGATACCCTCTGGGTGCCCATCCTGTGGCTTAGTTGCTCCCCAAAGCCACAATGCCTATATACAACAGCAAGGTGCTGGTGGCCACCGTGGCATGTTGGGTCCTTGTGAGGACCAAGCCCATCTCCAAGCCTGGCAGCACCGCAGTGTGTTCTGGCAGCGGGGATGCTCCTGCCAGCACCATATGTGAGCCCACCATCACCCTGCTGGGCAACACTGGGACCTTCTGTGGGGTTTTTTGGCACTATGGAAGTTGACTCTTACAGCCCTCCAGCTATACTGGTGGTTGGGTTTTATTTGCCTGCTACCATCATCCAGGGGATTCCCAAAGGGGAAAGTTTTAAAGGGAGCTGGTTGGTTAAGTCCCAGTGAGTCGTGTGGTTCAAAAAAGTCCCTGCTGTGGCTAATTTGTTTGATTTGTCACTTCTTTTTGTTGTAGTTATTTAAATACTCTTTTTGGAATACTCTTTTACTTTTTTTTTTAATTAAGAGACGTTGTATTTCTGGAGTAACTTTGGTGTCTGGCTTCTGCATAGTTAAGGCAAGCTGAGAGAGGAGCTTGGCAAAATCTTTAAGACTGTTTTAGACTTGCCTTATGATTCCAGATCATGAGATTGTCTTTAAAATAATTAAATTATCTTGTTTTGTTCTTCCTCTGTACTTTTTCATCTTAGGTCACATCTTCAAGAACTGTTCAGCAACTGTCATTTCCTGTCCCCTCCCTCTCTGTTTGTTTTTTTAGCAAACTGCTCAGTTCTTGGGTAAACTCCTAATATCAGCAGCAATGACTTCCTAGAGACACATGATGATTTCTTGACTTCGAGCAAAATAACAAGAATTTACATTCTCTGCACGCTAATATACGGGAACAGGAAAAATAGTTTATTAAATATGAATTTTAGCTTGGCAGCTTCTTTCCTGTTAATACAGATATTTTTTACTTTTTTTTAGATTGCCTTGAAGACAAAACAATTATTTTTCCATCTTTACATCCAAACCAAATTACATTGTGTCTACCAGGCAGCCTTGTGTTGCTGCAGTGTATTAAATAAAACACAGCATTCATTTCATGTTTTGATTGATCACAGTTCAAATTGTGCAGATTTTTTTTACCTCGAGCAACCACAAGCTGGATGGCTGGATGTTCTAGCTAAGAATAATAGTAAGGAAAAATTTTTACTGCTCTTGAGCAAATGTACATCTTTGGGTTGCCGTGTGCTCGCATCTTCAAGGCTGTGGTTCAGCCACGGGGAGAACAACTCCTCTAAGCAAGGCGACCACCACCCAAAAATTCACCCTCCTTTTATCCAAAGCACAGCATCTCTGAAGCACAGGCTGGAAAGAGGTCTGTCTGTTCTTCACCCAACCACTTCCCATCCTTTATTTAATTAATTAATTTTATTTATTTTCCCTGCACTTTATGGAAGTTCCTAGCTGAGTTTGACACACTCAGGGTGCTATGCTTAGATTTGCACCAAATTGACTTAAACCAGCCAAGAAGCTGGGCAGAAGTATCCGTCTGGATTTTGAACTGTTACAATTGGGACGTTCATATCTCTGCGCAATTTTCTCATGTGTTTTGTGCTGTATGAAAATACCTTCCGCAAGTGAACCTGTCCTTGGTTTACTCATGCCCAAATCTTGTCTCAAAGTAAAAAGACACTGAGGAGTCAGCTCTTCACTCTTGTAAGGAAAAGTATAGTAAGAATCAATGTCTGGAAGTTGAAGCTGGTTAAACAAAAGTCAGGTGATTAACTATGGGATGAGATGAACAGCGGGAAGAGCCGATTTGTGTCTTTTTATACAATTTCTAGATGATTTTGGGAATGCTATGCTTGTCACAGAGGCCACCAGAAGAGGTGGGATGGCACGTGATGGAGGTGCCAAGGCTGTGGGCTGGTCCTTGGTCCCTTCACCATCTTTGTGCTTTGGCATGGGAAGACGTGTCCTTTGATTTAAGGGAGTTGGGACTGAAGTGGTTTGAGATCAGCAGTTTCTCATCATCTTGTCTGTGGTGTCTGTGGGTGGCTGATGAAGGCTTTGGGAAGGGTGGCATATGTTCAGGTCTCGCTGGAGGGATCCATATCCACACTGGAAAAATAAGTGCATTTAGCAGGTGGAAAAGAGTTGAGCATGACTGATTCATACAGCCCAGTTCACTCTTGAGGCACATCAGGATACAGAAATGACTTTCTCACCGGCAAAGAACCTCAAGGGAAGACATGGCAGCCTTGTCCAGGAATAATTTGAAACTGCTAAAATAGTAGAAAAAACTTAAATATTTTAAATGGTTTAAATTTAAAGCAGGAACTCTGGTGGATCTGTGATGTGCATAAATTTAGGCTGCTGAGCTGTTCCAGGGACCAGGTCCTCCTGCAGCCCAGCATGGTCCTGCAATTCATATGGGGCCTCCTAAGGCACCAAAGAGAAAAAAAAAAAGCCTTCAAAACCTATGAAATAAATTGCTGCTATATTCAATTAAAGCGATCAGTCGAAACTATTCCAGATGTTTAAGCGAAATCAGCATATTGCTGCTCTATAGCTTGGAAAACATCCTTTCACTCCATTTGAAACTGTAAAAAAATATTTTATGCATGGCAACCACTTACATGTGGCAGAGACAGCTCGCTTCAGCTCTGCTCCACCACCCCTGTCTAGCTAGACGCATATAGTTAGAAAGAGTTTTATCTTGTGGGTTTTTTCAACCTGCTCTCATTATAAACACGAGAAGACAAAGGGAGCTGTGACTTGGAGGAGGCGAGCCTGACCTGCGGAGCAGCAGCCAGCTTTTGGATCTGTGCAGATCTCCATCCCTGGGCAGACCTGGGTGGGTTTTCCCTGGCTGATGTCTCGCCGGCTGGTGCTTGCTGCTGCCACCGCGTGCTCATTAGCAACCGCTGTTTGTACTGAAACACTCTTCTTCATTAGGGTAAATTAACTAAAACAGCAATCAAGTCAGAAGGAGAGGCCTACATATTTACAGGTGTGGATCCTCCTTAGTGTCTAGGTCGATGCCAAACAATTCCTGATGCAAAGCTCCTTTTTGCTGGCTGCCCCGTGCTGGTGAGGTGCAACACGGTGTTGCCACATTGCCTATCTTCATCATCCTGCTCAGCTATGGCTTCCCCAAAGGAGCTTCCCCCAAGCACCTCATCTGTGCTTTGGGGTGGATCAAAACAAAAACATTAGGAAAAACTTTTTCCCTGTGAGGGTGACAGAGCCCTGGAACAGGATGCGCAGAGAGGTTGTGGAGTCTCCTTCTCTGGAGACTTTCAAAACCCACCTGGACATGTTCCTGTGTGACCTGCTCTGGGTGATCCTGCTCTGGCAAGGGGGTTAAACTAGATGATCTTTCAAGGTCCCTTCCAACTCCAAACATTCCGTGGTTTGATTTTTCTGTTAATGACTCCCCTCCATCCCAGAGTCCATAAGGGGTATCCTTAAGTGAAGACCTCTATTAAAAAAGTGCTGGGAATGCAACAAGAGACAGAACGTAGATGGTGATAAATGAAAAAAGAGCTCCCGTGGATGTATTGATGGACAGCCAGGCAGGAGCACTCGTTAAGAGGAAAACATTGGATTCCCTCTGGTTTTCGTGGCTCACAGCAGTAATTATTCCAGTGAAAAAGCTGCCGGTGCCCCAGCAGCAGCTGGGTCAGCACGGTCCTGGCCCCAGCATGCAGGTCAGTTTGCTGGAGGGGTTTTTATGGGCAAAGCCCCTTCCTCCTTGCCCAGGGGAGATGTGCCCCAGAAATGGGGGATCGAAGCAGGTTCCTGTTTAACCCTTGATGGGGTGCCTGCTGTGCACCTCAGAAATAGCAACACAGAGATGTCTACAGTGCACGACCAAGAGCCCTCAGACCTGCTCTTCAGACTGGTCACCAAACTGGGCTGCAGCATCACCCCTGGGGAAAAGGAGCCCCAAAGGCTCAAAAGGCGATGCGAGAGGTGTCTTAAGATGATGTAAGAGGCTGCTCCTGGCAGTGAACCCCCAAAAAAGGACAAGAGAAAGAGGAAGAACTGTGCTAGCCTGACTTCCCTGCACCCCCTTCCATTTTTTCTTTTAATTACTAGCTCGGTAATGGTGAGACGGGCTTGTATGAAGCGACAGCAGATACTGAATTTCATTAGAGCTCCTACAGCGGGGAGAGAAATTACGTCAGTGGCGCGATGCGGGAGTCAGGCAGCGGCTCCGGCTGCCGCCGACCAGAGGGATGCCTTCTGCCGGGGTGGCTCGTCACGTCAATGTTTTCACTGCGAAGGCGATTTGATTTGGAGTTTTATGTGCTTGTTTTTGCAGCGTTGATCCCCAGCTGGGCTGCCACTGTAAAAGCTGGCTCTGTCTCCATCATCAGCCCTCCTTAAAGGGATTTAAAAGCCAGACACAGAAACGGGAGCGAGAGCTGGTCCCTGCCAGCCCCGGCGTCACTCACGTGGGTCCAGCTTCAGCAATCTGGCCTTGTGCCTTCGCTGTTAATTTTGGGATCCTTTTTATTTTTAATCTTTCCATTTTTACCTCTGCTTGAGCAATTCAGTTGGAGCTGTGGTAAATTTAAACTAAAATTCTCACTAAATTAAACCAGCAATATATTTCAAGTTTAAGACCAACTTTCTGTATGGCATCAAC